GTGGGCCGAAGATTCTGGGGTGCCCATGGGAAATGTCAAGGTCTACAAATGATCACTTATGGGAGGCTGTCGAAAAAGCGAAGAATAGAGGTAAAACGGTAAGTAGGACGAGGTAAACGGAGTGTAATGGAAAATCTACTTGTAGGGTAGAAGGCCTGTCAATCAGGTAGGAGAAAAGCACCAAGTACAAAATGACTACAAAGCTGTTTCTTGAGCAGCTTCCAACCCACTCCTCAAGAGGATCTTATATACACTGCCTTTTCTAGCACGAAAAGGAGGGGGAAAGGGCCCGAATAGAGAGGCCACAAAGGGAAGAGGGGTTGCACCTAATTGCCATGCTTCCGGCCCCTGCGGGGGTTTTAGCCGCACCGTCGAATAGTCACCGAATAGTCCCCGTTTCCCTAGCGAAAGGCCCGTGCTTCTTATGATAAAGCGGACGCTTGATTTGGCTCACCTTTTCCTGGATAGAGGAAGCAGAGGATAAAAAGAAGACTGTGTTGTTGACTGTTAAAACAGTCCCTGGTCCGTACACAACATCAAGAGCGTGCTGTGATATAATGACCCGTTCGAATACCACGGCTGGGTTTCTCCTGTTTTATCCTTGCTCGATAAGAGTGCCTATTGACAGCGCCTGAGGCACTGTCAGGGCCAAGGGACACAATAGGAGCTCGGCTTTTCTGTTGCTTTGTGCTTTCTCCTCTGGTACGCTTCGACCTGTCTGCTTTGTCAGACTACTTCGAGCATACCTAGCCTCCCGCTTCAGCAAGCTGACAGGTCGAAGCGTACCGGGGACCAGCATTACGACCAAACCAGCCACATAGGGCATCAGTAAGGTGATGAACGTAACTGCTGTGGCTAATAGTTGCGTTTCTTGTATCTCTGTGTTGTGCTGGACTGCTTCAGCCGTGGCTTGGGTGACTGAAGGGAGAAGTACAAACATAACAAACACTCTCAATGAAATGATGTGAGCAAATTAAACTTTCACTGCGCCAGCGATTTCCCCACCTGCGGCAACCTTAAAGTCTAGGCAATAATACCTACTTCTCCTGCCATCTTCTGACTCTTCCTTTCACCTCTTTATTCATTCACCATGTCTAACTCAGAACTCTTCCTACCGCAACATTCTCTTTCTTCAACTTCGTGATTCTTCAACCTTCTTACAACAATGTCATCCCCATCCTCGCGCTGGTTTCACCAAGGAACAGACCCTGGCACAATCATCACCCTCGATCAACCTGTCCCTTCGCAGTGGAAGATCCTCAAGAAGCTCAATGAGCGTAACTTCCAGGGTAGTGAAGAAATGCGTCGTCGCCATGGCCACTACTCTTACGCTACGGCTAAACTCCTCTGTTGCGATCCAAAGAAGCCCTCCAGGAAAGCCTTCATGCGAGTTTATCTTCAGGTTCCTTTTAAGAACACTGAAATACAAGATCCGAAGAGCAGATTTCGCCAGGCCACAACATACATGCCCCCAGAGTTGACTGCCTACCAGGAGCTTACTCAGAAGGACTTCAGCAATGTACCAAAGCTCCTAGGGTACAAGGTCAGCACTCAAGATAAGTCAGGGCTGATCCCAAATGGGTTTGCGATCTGGCTGTCGTGGGAAATGGTCCCAGGTCTACGCCTCGGCAACAGCTTGGGAATGATCCATACTGGACTCTGTCCGCTGTTGAGAGGGGACATGTCCGTGTGGCCTTTATGAAGGCTCTTCCGTATGTCGATCCTCCCGTTTCCTGATCATGCTAACGATAAGCTTTAGTCAGGCGCTCGAGAAAGGGTATGGACCTTATACGCCCAGTCTCTCTAAGCTAGTCTGGCACAGTCAAACAGGCACCCTGTATGTTATTACATGTTGTGTTTTATGTCAAACAAGTGGACTAACATTTTCCGTTCTCTGCAGTTACTTCATCGGTTACTTCTACGGCATTAACGACGAACCTAAAGACCGGAGCAACATCAAGATCGGTCCTGAGGCCCTAGCGCGCTATGGCCTCGCGAAACCCTCTTCGAATGAATGGCGTAACAAAAATTGGAACGGGGATACTACAGGCTGGAAAATGTAGCTCATATAGAGGGGGAGTCCATCGAGCACATCCCTTTCTAGCTTCATCATTGCTCTTGATAAATGAACTTCTTGAATCTAATGTGAATATGGTCCGCCAGTACCGGTAGCGACTATTGCCTAGAAGACAATACCTTTCTCCAGTTGCTGGCGACGCCGTCGATAATACTTGGGGCTGCGGATTTGCTTCTTCTTTGAAGCAGGATAGTTCAAAATAGACATGCCTCAGGAAATAACAGATTCGGCCAAAGAACGTGGGCAAGTACTGACGCCGCAGAAGAATAACTGAATGACGGAAGGAAACTGTAGAGACTGGAGTTCAGAAGGACCCAGAGAGTAGTAAGACACTTCTCTCTCTTTGATGCAGGCCATCGAGCAGTTTGTACGAGCTGATGGCGGGGGGATAGACTCATTAAATATTAGAGGAAAGAGGGGGGTTGAGATATTTCAGCACCAAAAAAAGACCTTTCTATTTTGGTGATATGTGGCTACAAGCGGATTACGTCAGGACAGGCCATTACGACACAATGATCGTCTTCCCTGAGCACACTGAGTGAAGGGTGAGCTGATCACTGAGCACCCTGAGTGCTCAGTGAGTATATACTAAAAGTGGGTCGTGTTGGATCACGTGCGTTATGGCGACTAAGATTCTTCGTAAAATGGACGCTTAAAGTGGCGTCAGAAGTAACCATTTTCAGCGCCCAATTTACCGTCACCTAGCGTTGTGGTGTAGTGTCTCACTTCAAACAGGCGTCTCATGTATGTCAAGCGCAGATATGCAAATTCTCTTGATCACATATTTTCCGCTTTCTTATTTTAAAATTTTATATAATTTGTCTTAACCTTCTATGACACCAAAAGAACACCAGAAAGACATAAGGCTGTGCAAACGGTCAACTATTCTTATCGAGTACAACATAGACACTCACACCCAGGATATAAGCCATCTATCTGTTTTTTAGCCTAGTGGAAGTCAATTGCGACTAGACCGCCACTAGATCGACCTTGGCTTGATCTAAAAGGCCTTACGTGGTCGACGTGTGGACGCCCCACTGTCAAGGCAGTCGTATTCGGTCTAGGATGTCTCGAATAGACGAAACTCCTGAAAGGGAAAATACTTATCAAATAGTCCCCTTTACTGTGCCTCCACATTTGCTTCCATTTCGAATACACCTATCTAAAACTTCCAACAATCCGACGATGCTTAAAAGTCCAAGAAGGAATCAGAGATCTACGCGTATTCCGTGCCAGTCAGTCCGGTCATGAACGAACACGAACATCACAAGGCCCCGAATCACAGCCGACCTCTATTATACATCCCCAACACATTATGGACGCGATTATTTGCAGCGACGGTGCTCATCGAGACGGTCCTTACAGTCGCAATTGAAAGGTAGGGGCCCGACCTCGAATATCAGTCCCTTCTCGGACTTGGAGCTTATGGGGAAATCAGCTGGATTCTCACGAGCCTATGGGACGACCTCGACGATGACAGCGAGTCAAACGGAACATTGCGCCTTCAGTCATTTCTAGGCCTGTACATTTTCGCTCTTCTATACGAACTAGCTCTATCATATGATGCACTGCGCCGGAGGAACACAATCCAGCTGGTCGGACTCTGCGTCTGTAATCAGGGCCTGTTCACATATGGCCTTCTGCAGATGAAGGAGATCAAGGATACTATCTCTGGCTCGACAGAGAAAGTCCTCGGTGACCACTTGCAGGACTTGTATCATGTCGAGATCATTCTTGTCCCGGTGATTTTGGGTATCGGGACTGTGTGCATGAGCTTTTTCACGTGGAAGTTGCGCGCGGAGTTTTCATGGTCTATATACAAGAACGTCAGCGCCGATTTGCAGATGAAGCGTCGATATTTTACATACCAGGTTCGTTGCGACGCTGGTAATGTCCTTTTGTTTTGCGACTGACCGAATTCCTAGGTGTATATCGCTCTCCTAAAATTCGATTTCTTCTTCGTATTTGGAACTCAACTTCAAATCCTCCTTGTTATCTTTCAAGACCCAAAAGACATGGATTTTGTCGTCAATGCCTCTGTGATCCCAATCACGATAGCGACCTTGGTTCTATCAGCTCAGTTTTGCAAGCGCGAGAAAACGAAATCTCTCATGCTCATGATGGTGAGGATCCTCGCGAAGCAATATCCGAGCTCCAAACTAACCAGTCATCTAGTTCCTTATGCTTCTTATAGTTGGATTCCTTGTCCTCATCCTCCTTCGAATGTACAGCCGCGAGGATAGCACTGATTTCAGCTCTTTCCGGACTTCCCTGACATTATTTGCAGGTGTATCATTGTTGCTGATGGCTCTCACGATCATCAACTCCGTGATGTGTATCCTTAATTTCAATAAAGGATTGAAGAATCACGTTCACCCCCCTAAAAAGGGGAAAACGGTCTCGTTAGAGCTCGAATCCCAAGAGACACCTACGCGGTTCTTGTTGAACTAACTGTACTAACTTCATGACTTATTGCCCTTTTCTTTACTTTGTGTATTCTATAACTATTCTATGTACATATAGACTCCAATGGCATTGGTGACTCAACTACCTCAATCTAGTTATATTTTTGTACTGAATGATCCCAATGTTTGTCTGCATAATAACGGAGATTTGCGTCGAATAGCAATTCAAGAGATCTGGGCCATCCACTCTCTGAACGGAATGTCCCATATCTCACCACGGAAATGGCTCTTCATCAACCAACCATGCTGGATTTCCTGACCCAGTCTCATGTGGACTTTGGGCTGCTTGATCCAGTGGAGATGTTCAACGATTGGCGGTTATACGTATTGGGGGGATTGGGACTGCAAGGACACTAGCTTTAAGAATAACTAACTCTTTATTGGCGTAAAATATATATTCCTAGATTGAATTCAGGATGCAACGCTGCGGAGTAAGTGTGGGGTGATCGTCGGTTAATGGCTCCGATGTCTCAGGTTGCCTCTTTTTTAGAGACTCAATATTTAGCTGTAGTATCAGCTGTGCTATTTAACTTACATTCTTCGGTTTTCTATTCTAATTGTCAAGCCAATGGTAGTGTACAATAGGCTGCCACGGCTACAGTCTTTATAATGAAACTTGATTCAGGATTCTTCGTTTTTCCTTTTGTTCTGGCTGTGCAAGCATACGATGATGCACTTGGTCTACGTAATGGCTATACTTCTTTATCCACAGCCAACTTTGACATCAAGTTAGTCAAAGATTCCCAGGTCCTTGTCTCTCTCAAACCAGCAGGAGAGTCCTTTGACTTCTTGCCTTTCGACGATATTACATACAGAGCGGCAAATGGCCAGTACCACAATGGGGACATTACATATCGTTATCGACTGTCGGGTTCAACGGAGTGGATTGCAGGCGACTCATCAAAAGCAAGAAAATCGTTGAAAAGTGTCAAGTCCGATGCTCTTGCTGCCGGTGAGATGACACAAACCCTACCCACCTCTCCTATCAATATTCTTCGAGAATGGATTGATGTGGACGGCGATCTCGGGTTGACCTTCACTCTGACCAACAAGGGAAATCAGACACTAGAAATTGGCAGTCTGGGCTTCCCAACCGAATTCAACAGTATCTTCTCCAACCGCACAGCAGAAGACATGGTGGCCAAGTGCTCGCTCGCCGATCCATACATCGGGATGGATGCTGGGTACCTTCAGGTGAACCCCACGTCTGGGACCGGGGCATCGTTGATCGTTACCCCATTGTTCAACACGAGCACTCCACTAGAAGCGTGGCGAGACTTAGACGAGCCTAGCACTGATCCTCTCTATTACGGCAGTCAAACATTTGAAGGCTTCTATGAATGGCAGACTCACACTAAAGCCTATGCTGAGAATGAGTGGTCTGGTGTCACCCCATGGAACGAGCCTAGCTCTCGACTTGTGAACCCAGGTAACTCAGTGACCTACGGATTGCGCTTCACAGTTGTCAAGGATGGTGCGCGTGGAATACATGATGCAGTCAAAGTCACCAACACGCCTGCCGCGCTGGGCATACCGGGCTATGTGGTACCAGTCGATCTCACGGCTCAGCTTTACGTTTTTCACTCTCAAATCGCGGAAGTTGTATCCGAAGGCAACTCCTTTAAGATAACCCAAGGTGCGAATGGCACTCTATCACTCACTCCGACTGGCTCAGTCTGGGGTCGAACCAGAGTAACGATCACATACGAAGACGGCAAAGTCCAAACGGTGCACTACTTCGTTACGGACTCAGCGCCAGCAACAATCAGCAAATTGGGCGAGTTCACTACCACGTCGATGTGGTTCAATGACGCAAATGATCCCTTCCATCGAGCCCCATCAGTCATGACATGGGACCACTCAACCCAAGCCCAAGTCCTCCAAGAACCCCGAGTCTGGATATCCGGACTAAGCGACGAAGGCGGCGTGACCTACTTGGCCAGCGCAATGAAACAATATGGTCTAACCGACGCGACAGAAGTATCAAAACTTGAACAATTTGCCTCCGATGTTCTGTCTAAGACTATCCAAAATTCAGACTTCACTGTCCGCAAGAGTATCTTCTTTTACGAGCCTGCCCAACTCCCTGAATATACGTACGATCGCTCTCTCGACTGGGGCAACTGGTGGTCGTGGAATAAGGATGCCTCCTATGCTACGGACCGTGCCTACAACTATATCCATGTGATCGGGGCATACTGGGCGTTGTATCGCGCAGGTCGAGATAACGGATCTCTTCTAAAAACACACACTTGGCAGTGGTATCTCAG